TGTTTCCGTTTTACTCTTCAGCAGATCGCAGGCATTTCCATACAAATCTCTAAGCCAGTGTTTCTCAACCTTGGCAACTTTAAGATATGTGGACTTCAGCTCCCAGAATTCCCCAGCCAGCATCTCTTAAAGTTGCCAGGGTTGAGAAACACTGGCTTAGAGATTTGTATGGAAATGCCTGCGATCTGCTGAAGAGTAAAACGGAAACAATATAAAAAATGCTAGTGTCTAAGAAAAAAAATGGGTGAAAAGGAAGTCGTAAATGCTATGAGAATGTTGAAAAATGACAAGGCTTCATTTTGGCATATGTTTCTTATGGACTCTTCATCAGCAGTTAACTGAGTTAGGCAAATACTGGCCTGCTTACGACTAAGCCAAGTTATCAGTGTCAAACTTTTCTTTTTTTGTAAGAAAAGGGGCAATTTGGGGTAAGAAACAGGTTTGGCTGTAGGGTCCCCAATTTTTGCTTTTCCTTGACTGCCAGCTCATAAGGAATTTGGCTGGGTGGGTGAGAGAAAGACATTGTGAGGTGAGGCGAATCCGTGTATGTGTGTGTGTGTATACACACGCATACACAAATACATAATACTACTTGGAATTTAACGTGTTCAGATCAAAGATGTTTTTTTGTGCTCTAAACAATGGCAAAATAATCCTTAATAAATGGAAAGGTCCTATAATTCCAGAATTATATAAAGCTTTGGATTTCAGAGATGTGTGATTTAGCAGTTTTTGAGAAAAATCATATATTTGGTTAATCAGAAAATGTCACGTTTTCTCCCTGTGGAGGAAGTTTCTCAACTGGCTTGGTCAGCACTGAAAGCTTAATTTTCCTTTTAAAAATCCTCAAAATCAGTTGTAATTACAGTTTTTTTGTTTGTTCTTTTGATGTATTTTCTGGTTGGGTAAAAATCCTTTTGTTTTTGTACGTGGTAACTTGTTTATTTCTGTTTACATATGTCTGTCTGAAAATGGATCCATAAAACTATTTGGTTTGTGAGAAAACACACACACACAAAATGTACAAGCGCAGACAAGAGACTGACAACCCTGGTTGTTCAAGCCACAGAAGAACAGGCTTCTTCCCTCCCACCAAGTGGCACCTCCCGTTTTGTAGCATTTAGGCAGAAGGCACGTCCCTCACCTGCTTAGAATAAAAAAAGGGGGGGGGATGCCATACCTTTTCCTCAATTGGAAGAAACTTTCCCCATATTTTCAGCCTTCCCCCCATCACTGAAGGGTGAGCTTCTTTGGGTCAAAAGGCCAAGGTCAGAGGAACTAATTT